ATATGATATGTATATTTCCTATTGTATAATAGTTAAGTAACTAAACTACTCATATTCGTGTTCCTCTTATTATAAGCTTTATTTGGACCTATGAACTATTATTATACAATTTACCATTCTTGAGTTATCACCAGTCTATTGATTACTGTCTCCCACATTCACAGACACTTTGGTCTGAGTCTTGTACAAACGTTATTTTCTATTTTATGGTACAATGTGGTCAGTTTGTTTGGTATATAAACTCAGTATGTTTGAAATACAATGGTTCATGCCACAGAGACTGTTATTAGTGTTCTGGACTTCACTGCCTTCTCGTGGCGTGGGTGTTGTTTACGAAAGTGAGAGGACAAAAAGCGAATATCGGGCGCTTCAACCGGGTTGGTGGACATAGAGGGTCCACCTAAGGGAGTTGGAAAACCCTGATTCCAAACCAGTGGTGCACATGGGCTCCAGTATCCTGAGGGAACAAATGGCGTACGAATCAACCGTTGATAACCGGCTACCATGGGACTGCATCTCCTCACGATGCTCCACTGCCTTGTGGATCAGACATTCAGGTCAAAGGCTCCGGGTGTGGCCCCCTAAGAAAACCATCTGATTCAGTCTGGGCACCTGGCCAGTATCACAGCCCTCACACAAATGAAATGAGATTTGTGTGGTGCATATACATCTAGTGCTTCCTTGTACCAATATTTATGTGATTAAATAAATAAATAAATAAATCTGGACTTAACTGGCAGGACTAGGCAGAAGCAGGATCGATAAGCGCTCTAAACTGCTCGTACAGTTTTCGTGTGTCTCTGTTCCAATCGATAATTCTCTGCTCTCTGATTGACGGTCTTGTCACGTAATACATTAACTAAGCATCCACTCGGCCACAAGATATAACAATCTCATCAGTCACATAGGATGTCGACTTTTCCTTGTCCTTGGTTAAAATACTTTACGGATATTTAAAACTCCTAACTAGCTAAAAGTGTAGTTGACTACGTAATGCATTTAGTCACTAATTCTATATCAGTTTACGGGGAAAATGATGAGAGAAGCTTTAGATATGTTTCTTTTCATAGAGCTGACTTATTGGTTGAAGAATTCAGATTTTAACCAATATACCTTAGATCTGAACCCCACCTCACCTGCTTTGGGAGCCGGGTAACATCATTAACTCTGTCTAGAAGGCGGTAAATGAGCTGCATTATTGTTATGTACTTCATTTTTCTACATTATTTGTTGGATAAGTAATGTGATTTACTACGTCACAAAAGATATTTATTGAAGAGTAATAAGATTATTCTGATCATAAAACGTGTAAGGATTATCATATCATCAATAATAAACAAGACAAAATTAATATATCGGTCTAGAGTCAGTCAGTCAGCAACAACGTAGGACCAGGCACATTTATGCATCGGTCCAAGTTGCCATACCTCGTTAGCATAACAAGATGAACACCGGATTCGTAGAAGTAGTTAATTTAGTGGTGGTGGTATTTAAAAGAAAGGTTTTATATAAGGATATAGTATAGGAAGGAAGAAAGTTATGAAGAAATTTTAATCTGAAGGTTTAAGGGAAGATAAAGAGTGTATACACCTAAATACTGACCGGGCCCAATGTTGCTTAACAGCAGTGATCGGACGAGAACCGGCGCTTTCAACGTGGCATGGTCGCCGGTTTAAAACTCAAAGCGAAAATGTAGCAGTTAATATACTTTGTCTTTTACATTGACAAAATTAACAATTGAATGAATTCTTTAAAAAAAATATCATACCTATCAAAAGAATCAGTGAAATGGTAGGTATACAAATGAGCTCGAATATATTTTGGATTATTCGGCAGACTAGATGGATCAAGCAGTTCCAAGACTAATGAAACGGAAAAAAAACCAAGGGCAAATAAATTCTCATAAAACAAACAAGCATTATAAATATTAAAGAATAGTATTAGTTGAGTCTAACTGAAATCAAACGAAACAGTAGCTCAAACCACCCTATAGAAAGAATGTTAGATCATATAATTTCAAGTCTACACCCTAAATATTTATTTACCATCAAATAACAGAGGTAAACTATTTAAATAAGCCTACAAATTTATATTGACAAACTATTGTTTACGCCCAACTGTCATGTACGAAAAAAAATGTAATACTGACTGGAGTATGACTACAATACAAGTAGACTTAAAAGATTTATACAAAAAAATGGGACACAAGTCTATAAATTTATAGATTTCTCGGTCATTGTCTGAAATGCACATTTACATTCAGATTTGAATACACTACTGTTGGGGATATTAAATCCCCAGAACTTACTTGGTAAATGGCTTAGTTTTGTAATTTTATTTTGAAAATTTGAATTTAGCTGTTTCCGCGCCAAAAGCACTCTTTCACCTTAAAGTCGTATTTCCCACTTGTAAAATATCTTAAATGCTATTGGTCTGTTGTATCTTTGAGTGTGCTATTTTGTAATGCTGCCCAAGGACAACTTATCGCTGTATATATAAGTTTGAGTTTTTTTCCCTTACGATTGCTTGTACTTTGGCTGCTTACGGAATATATATACCCCTACTTCGCCTTGGACTTCTTCCCCTAGTTAACGGGGCCTGGAACAACGGATTAGATTAGCCTATCGTGTCACTGTGTCATTGACCTTCGTTCGTTACCGAGAAAATCGACTTAGCTCAAGCATATCAACTATCACAACAAAAATGGTGATAGAAATTAAGTGATCGAGCAAAACTCTAATTTTGTCAAACATAAACAATTTGAATGCTATTATTTTAAACAATGCTTGTTTTCATAGGTTTTTACTGATAAACTTTCTCACTAATTTGGGAACAGATTAGGAAACTAGAACGTGTTATCTATACTACACACTTTGAAAGTCTAACGTATGGACTTAAAATGTATAAATATTTACCTAAACGTAAACATGGGCATCAAATATATATGCCAAATCATTTTTATTCTATATGGCATATGTTTACTTAAACTGATGGACTGCTTCTATCCGTGTCATATTAAAATCACAAGTCATCGTGAGAAACTGACATTGAATTGTTATGTTGGGAGTGAATACGAGAGTTCACCTAGTCTGCGAACGGAACAAAGACTTGTGACCAGAGACGAATAAGCTATCTAATTTGACGCGTCCAAGACCCGCCAACTAGAGTGAGATGTCCAAATTGGAAATGGGGAAGATATATTCCATAAGCAGCCAGAAGCACAAGCAATCGCAACAGGAAGAAACCAAACGTGTATATACAGCATAAAATTGTCCTTGGGAAGCGTTACAAAATAGCATACTAAAAGATACAACGGACCAATAGCGCTTTTGGAGCGAAAACAAAGAAATTCAAATTTTCAAAATAAAATTACAAAAATAAGTCATTTACGAAGTAAGTTCTGGGGATCTAACATCCCCAACATAAAGACAACTAACTTAGAGTGTATGGTAAGTCTTCTAATGTTAATATAATCACTATCTAAAATATTGATATGGCAAAAAATAAAACAAACATTAAGCCAAATACAGTAGGTATTTAAAACTTCACTTCAAATACGGAAATTTTAATTTTTAGTAACGAAAAACCTCGGGACTCAAGTTGTCACTTATTCACACGAACAATTCAACATAAAAAGAAATTCAAATAATTCTATTCGAATTATCACGAGTAAAAAGAAACATACACTACTTTACAACAGTGTAAAAACTAACCCTCAGTTTGTTGATTCAGTAATCGATAAATTAAATTCATAAACCACGGATGATTACGATAATTAGTGAGCGCAGCAAACCACATTTGCCAATCCAAACGAGGCTGATGTGGGACTAGATTTACAAAAGAATAAAGAAGTAAATTAGCATATGTATAATTACTACAACAGTTTAGTACTTAAACTTTGCTTAGAAAAGTAAGTCTGTTTCTATCAAAACATGACAAGTCAAAGGAAAGATGCCAAAATATAAAAAGACAGCTTACCAATACAAATTAACATGTGTTATTTTGATTTCAATCATAAAAAAGATAAGATGAACAATTTACTAGAAATCCCCATATACAAACTTATCACGATCATCTTTAAAGCTCAATAATTGAATAGGTACAAACTGAATTATTTAAAATGTGACTAAGTACTTTGAAGTTTAAAACAATACCAACTTCTTTGAAACATTCGATGATGAAATAATATCGGCAGACCCCAATCAATATAGCTATTCTTCCGATATTTTAATGTGAAAGGATTGCATATGAATGCCTGTACTCAGATGAAATCGAATTTGTGCTTAAAATTGATCAATTAGTATATATACTTTTGTTATATCTTGTGGCCGAGTGGATGCCTAGTGAATATGTGACTAGATAAGAACGCCAATCAGAGAGCAGAGAATTATCGATTGGAACAGAGACACACGAAAACCGTACGAGCAGTCTAGAGTGCTAACCGGTCCTCCTTCTGCCTAGCCCAGCCAGTTAAATTCAGAACACCAATAACAGCCTCTGTGGTATGAACCATTGTATTTCAAACATACTGAGTTTATATATCAAACAGACTGACCACATCGTACCAATATAATTTAAAATATCATTTGTACAAGAGTTAGCCAAATGTGGTGGTGAATAGGGGGAGCAGTAATTAATAGACTGGGTATAACTCGGGAATAGTAAATCACACAATAATAGTTCAAGGGTAAAAATAAAGCTCACAATGAAAGGAACATGAATACGTGTAGTTTAATTGTTTAGCAAATATACGATAAAAATTATATGCATAATATTCGTCCACAAATGGAACCCAGTTTTTCTAATCCCAAGTCTAATAACCAGCGAATACAGACAAAACCACTACTGCTCACTACATGACAAGTTATGAAAGATATAAGTGTTATGCTTGAAGCTAAATCGATTCCGCGGTAACGAACGAAAGCCAATGACACAATGACACGATAAGCTATTCTAATCGGTTGTCCCAGGCCCCGCTAACTAGATGAAGAAGTCCAAGGCAAGTAGGGGAATATATATGTATTCCGTAAGCAGCCGAGTACAAGCAATCAAATAAGGGAAAAAGTCAAGCGCATTTATACAACAACAATTTGTCCTTGAGCATCATTGGTAAATAGCACACACAAAGAAACAACGGACCAATAGCGTTTAATGTAGTTTACAAGTGGGAAATATGACGTCAAGGTAAAAAGAGCGCGTTTGGCGCGGAAACAGCTAAATTCAAATTTTCAAAATAAAATTACAAAACTAAGCCATTTACCAAGTAAGTTCTGGGGATTTGACATCCCCAACACCTCCCCATTTTAAGAAATCCGAGCTCCTCCTCCCCCACGAAATAGTGTTGGATCCTCATATACCCAAGTTTCTATTAATGCGATTCTATTTATAACATGTTTCTGGCATTCAATAGGGAACCTGCTAAGATTGACTGGATGGTGAGGATCGCCATTTAATGTGAGGTTAGAATTCGATTCTGCAGAAATGTAGTCATTAGACTTATTGCAAACATCACTGGCAGGTTGTGGATCACTATGATAAACAGCGTCCACCAAAACTGCGCTAGGTTCCAGATTTGATGCATGTAACAAATTTTCTGGACAAGCTTGGGAATCTTTAGCATTAGATTCCGTAAACATTTCTACCGCAGAATGCGATTCGCTCGGTGTGCTGCTCGATATGATGTCTGGCACTTTGTGGTTGGTTGGTGCAACAATTTCATGGGCATTTGACATGGCATCGTGTTTATGAGAGCTGGAAGCGTCACTGTTCGGACATGCTACTTCAGGGATAGTGGGGTTTGAATCCACTACCGGGCACGTTTCTGAAATGGACAGTGATGGACAACCGGGCGTGTCTTGTGATACTGCTGTTTCGTTTAGGTTGCGGCTTGTTGAGGAATCATGGGGGCTGCGATCATTTTCCAGCTCTGTGTGTAATTCAGAGATTAATACATCCACTTCCGACGCATATGTGAAGCATTGATGATCCAGAAACTGTGTGCGTAGTTTGACCATGAACTCCAAATGTCGGTCAAAGAGCAACTGTAAGCGGTCAGAAGGGAGCGTCATTTTTTACTTTTGTCCCCGTCGCCAATTGTTATGCTTGAAGCTAAATCGATTCCGCGGTAACGAACGAAAGCCAATGACACAATGACACGATAAGCTATTCTAATCGGTTGTCCCAGGCCCCGCTAACTAGATGAAGAAGTCCAAGGCAAGTAGGGGAATATATATGTATTCCGTAAGCAGCTGAGTACAAGCAATCAAATAAGGGAAAAAGTCAAGCGCATTTATACAACAACAATTTGTCCTTGAGCATCATTGGTAAATAGCACACACAAAGAAACAACGGACCAATAGCGTTTAATGTAGTTTACAAGTGGGAAATATGACGTCAAGGTAAAAAGAGCGCGTTTGGCGCGGAAACAGCTAAATTCAAATTTTCAAAGTAAAATTACAAAACTAAGCCATTTACCAAGTAAGTTCTGGGGATTTGACATCCCCAACAATAAGATAGTGACTTAAATGCATTAAATATGTTCCTTAAAACCAGTAACCATCTTTTGAAAATAATAAGAGTATCAACTAAGCAAATTCGACCAAATGAAATAATCAAGGGGATGAACTAATTTATTTGATGTGAGAATTGCTAAACCAAAACTTTTAAGAAGCAAATTATTTTTCTTTTAAGGGAATAAAAACACAATTATGTAGTATTTTTAAGGAAACTGTTCGAATCTCGCGAGTGCGGGATCGTGGATGCGCACTGCTGAGGAGTCCCATAATAGGACGAAACGGATCTCTAGTGCTTCCAGGTTTTTCATGGTGTTTTAGCTTCAATCGACCCATGATTTCAACTATGAAAATACTGAAATCTCCACAAAACCCCTTCTGAAACTGTAATCCTCAATTTCGTTTCTAGTGAAAATGAGTAAAATTGTTAGATATAGTATGAAACGCATGTGTAACAAAAAAAGAGAAAGGCATTTGTCGCACAAGCAACAATACAAATCAATACTGTTTATTTATACCATCATTATTGTATTGATCAAATATTACCAACGTCGATAAAGAAATGTGATATTGACAACTGTTTGTGTAGAATTTTCTACATAGCAAACAACTAATCATAGAAATCACCTTTTTTAGAAAACAAACCGCATCAAAGAAACCATTCTAGAAAAATAAATATACTATCACACTAAAACAATTTTATAATGGATAAATCTTACAGTATAAAAAAAATACTTACTAACAACTGGAGGAGTTCTATTTACACGACCAGGTTTGAAATTGAATCCGTATTCATACCATGGACCAGTTGGATCTGATGCCGCCTCCAAGATAAGTTCAGGTCGACCACCAACTCCAGTCATTCTAAAGCAAGAAAAAGATTATGCATAAATTATAGAAAAATTTGAAAAATATTATAATGAAATACCTAAAAAGAGGTAAGCAAATAATTTTACTTATGTTTACACAAATGAAATCCATAAAATAAAGTAATAGAAACTAACCGGCGGAAAAGACCATAACTATTAGTGATGTAATAAGGTTGTAAATGTTTATAAACTTGACGAACTTGAGGTGGTAATTGTATAGTTGAATCCAGTGATGCAAGTGGCACCTGAATGCAAAAAAACAATAATAGTTAGATCAACTTTATAACTAATAAGGCAACAAAATACTATGAAAATGTTGCTAGGACGGAGTTTTCTCCCAAAATGTAATATACTGTTTAATGAAAAGAAGTTTAACGCCGAAGAAATGATAGTTAACAACAAATATCGTCAATCTCAACAGCGAACAGTAAAATCACACATTTTTAGTTTAAAGGCATGAGGAGGTCTAGTCATTTGACACTCATCAAGTTGTTGAATCCTTTAGACTAACTCATACTGATTAGACGATAACTGATCTACCACAAATTGATTGGATAGTTTGAAAGTCTACACGCTACTCGCCTGAAAATGTCAAGACGGAGAGAACTTTGTAAACGATTCACAAACTATTCAGTAAAGTTACTTTGGTGGGCAAATGAAAAGACACTTTCAGATCTTCATGTGACAGTCTTTAGAAAGAATAAACCCACAGAATAAACAGAAATATGTGAGTTATAAAGTTAGGTATTGTTGGGGATGTCAAATCCCCAGAAGTGTCTTTTCGCGATTCGACGTTCACTGGGGTATGTTACATTGCACCGGTTGATCTTAATTTACTTGGATTAGATTGTTTTGACCAACTGCATTTAGCGGACGTCCCGTTAAACACCGTGTATCAACTAGTAAAACAACCCCATGACCCGGAAGCCTATTCAAAGGATCTAGTAAACAAATGTGCTCAGTGTCAACAAGCTGCAAAGTTCAATGCGAAGGTGCCGCCGGTTCCATGGCCACAGCCTGAGCATCCCTGGTCTAGGATACATGTCGACTTTGCCGGTCCAGTCAACGGAACCACTTATCTTGTCGTGGTCGACGCCTTCTCAAAATGGCCGGAGATTGTTTCCGTCACTCCACCAACGACCACCCAGACTCTGAAACATCTGACTGAGTTGTTCGCACGAAACGGATTACCGGAAGTGATTGTATCCGACAACGGTTCAAATTCACCTCGGCGCAGTTCCAAGAGTTCTGCAAACGCCTAACTATCAGGTATCTTCGCGCCCCACCTTATCACCCACAATCGAATGGACAAGCGGAAAAGTTCGTGGATACGTTCAAGAGGGCCCTTATTAAGTCAAAAGGGGAGGGGACACCAGTGGAAACACTGCAGAATTTTTTATTCGCCTACAGAACGACCCCCAACGATACGCTGCCGGAGCAGAAGTCCCCCGCAGAGATCCTCATGGGAAGACGGTTGAGGACCATCCACAACTTGATGCTGCCGAAAACCACACCACCACTAGTACAAACCACGTCCCGGAAGCTACCCACATACAACGTTGGATGCCCAGTATTTGCTAGGGACTACAGAGCAAATCGTGATCCTTGGATCGAAGCACGTGTGGTTAGAAGGGTAGGAGAAGTCATGTACGAGGTTGAGGTGGGAGCGGACAGGTGGACCAGACATCGAAATCAACTACGCAAGCGGTTAACGCCAGAGCGCCCATCGACCGAAGTAAAGATTCCGCTGGACGTACTATTGGATACCTTTAATCTGCCGGCAGTCCCAACGCATGAAGAAACACAAAAGGTCGACCTACGGTCCCGAAGATGGTCACTGCGCCAACGGCGAAAGACAGTCAGAATGCAAGTGGACCCGAAGAATGTGCGTTATTAAAAGGGGGAGGTGTTGGGGATGTCAAATCCCCAGAACTTACTTGATAAGTGGCTCAATTTTGTAATTTTATTTTGGAAATTTGAATTTAGCTGTTTTCGCGCCAAAACGCACTCTTTTTACCTTGACGTCATATTTCCCACTTGTAAACTATCTTAAACGCTATTGGTCCATTGTTTCTTTGTGTGTGCTATTTATTAACGATGCCCAAGGACATTTTGTTGCTGTATAAATACGTTTGACTTTTTTCCCTTATTTGATTGCTGTGCTTCTGGCTGCTACGGAATATAACTTCCCCGCTCCAACTTGGACTTCTTACTCTAGTTAGCTGGGTCTGGGTCGTGTCAGTATAGCTAGTTACCGGTCTCTGGTCAAGTGTCTTTGTTCCGTTCGCTACTAGTGAATTCGTAACGCTTCAGATATATCAGGTATGCATTAGGAGAGAGTAAGGAGGTTTGTTGTAATGAAATGATTCGGATATGTATCCTTACATAAAACAGTTCGATGTGAAATGATACTGGAACAGAGGCGGACTAGGTATCCTATCATTTGACAACTACCATCTCTTTTGAATTCGGACTTTTTGTCAACTGTCCTTAGATATTCCACTTTAATTTTAATTCGGTATATCTATTGGGATAGTGACGGAATGGCCCAATATAGGTTGAATCAATGCTAAGGGATTGCTTCAATTTTTGAACACTTAGTACCCTACAATTTGAAGGAATATCTTAGCGATAAATAAGGAATGTTACAAAAATTGTGGAGATCCATTGAAATGTTACAAATATTGGTTTAAAATATGAGGAAAACACATGAACAATAATATATACTTACCAAACTACCCATGAGTATGGTAAAACCAACAAAACTAATCACAATAACACCGATTAATTCATAGAGTTTACGCCAAAACTGACGTGCATTTAGTGCTCTGTCAAGTTACCGATCAAGGAAAGCGAAGAAGAACCCCAACAGCATAAACAAATAAAATGTTAAGATAGATAAAAAACAGTAATAAAACAGAATAATGGAAATTAGTAACTAATTTAGTCTAACTTCTCAATGTAAAGTAATTGCTTATATTTACGTAAAATAAGTACATCTATTCTTCTTGTTTGATGAAAATATATTCTATGGCTTTTTATTTCGTGATAACAAAGATAAGAAACTAATACTGTGACACTTAAGTTCCTTATCAATCTGGTTAGTAGGATTTACAGGTGTGTTCATGGAATCAATTTATTATTCATCACACTAAAACAGCTAAAAAATATCACACTCATATTTATTTTATTTATATTTATTTTGAACACATAAACGTTGGTACAAGGAGGCACTAAATGGATATGCGCCACATAAATCATTCGATTTGTGTGAGGGCTGAGATACTGCCCGGATGTCCAAACCGAGGCAGGTGGTTTTCTTAGGGAGCCACGCTTGGAGCCTTTGATTTAAAGGTCTAATCCACAAGGTCGTGGAGCAACGTAAGAAGATGCAGTCCCACTGTAGCCGGTGTCCAGCGATTGGTTCATACTCTATTTGTTCCTTCAGAATATTGAAGCCCGTGTGCAGCATTGGTTTAGAATTAAGGTTTTCCAACTCCCCTAGATAAACTCTTCGTGTCCACAGTCTTCTACATGATATGGTACATCTGAGCTGTTAGTACTTGTGTGATTGCATTAGAGGATTGAAGTATGCTGTTTAAGTTGCAAAGAGACTAGATGAAGTGTGGTTCTACTGAAAACCAAAGCAAAACGTTGCACCCGCATGATACAGAGGTGGTTTGATGGTTAGGGCGCTCAACTTTCTCCAACTAAATCCTAGGTTTGAAACCCGCCTAGTCTACTTCGGTTTGAGCAATCAAGTAGTATCACTAACTCACACTTCGAGAAGGCTAATATCCAAGTGTCTGGTAAATGAGTTTATTATTAATAATAATTGCACAAAGTGCTTATTTTAATTACACTATACTAGGAAGTTCAAGTTAACCGATTAGATTTAGGTGCTTTTAGCAAACTGATTTTGTAAGTTAAATCCATCCAAACATATGGTGAACAAAACAAAATGAAAACTATGGAGGTGATGGATTTGATATATGATTATTGATATTAAATGGAAACAAA